TGCTTCCAACTGAGCTTGAATCATGGCCCAGTTTGTGGCATCATAATTCACGCGGTAATACCCAGTTTCTTGAGCATTCACAATCACCTGGAAAGAATGGGATTCACAACTTCAAATTATTGGACAATTGCAGTACAAAATTACAGTTCAGAAGAAGTTGGAAATAGGAAGGGACAAGTACTTGAAAGTACAGATCCTAAAATTTGTTCAACTTTTTTAAAGATCAAACTGTATAAGAACCTTTGCAGATTTTGGGAAATGTCAAAAATGTGAATGCACCAAAACAGTTGCACTAGAGTAAAAATCTGTTATACTTTGCATGGATTGATTCCTTTTGTTTACCTCAATATTAACTCAGTGATGGTGTTTAGGACCCACTGCCAGTGTGCTATGCAGTTAATTGGTGGAGGCATAAATTGGGTGGAAAAATTACCCCAGGACAAACCTGGAGGAAATAGAGACCATAGAAAAAATTAAAAACTTCAAGAACTTTTGTTTTCTGAGATTCTGAGCCCAGAATGATCATTGACTAGATTCTCATTTCTCCTCTCAAAGAGGAATGAAGGCTTTTATACCCAGGTGCGCAGACTGTGTCAGGAAGAAATCAGGTGATTTCTCATGATTGGCCGTTTTAGTGAAAATCAAAGAAGTGATGACCTCTTCTTGGCCTTGGGTGAGGGTCAGTGAGTCTACCAAAAACAGGACTTTGGGGAGGCTCACTGGCCTCAAGATTCAACAAGTTTTCTCAGCCAGTTGCGGGTGGATGCAGCAGCTGCGCTGCTCTGGGACATGCCAGGCTATACTGTAAATTCGGTTACAAGACAACTCACATAGCAACAACTCACATAGCAACAACTCACGCAGTCCTTTTTTTTTACTAATTTTTATTTTTATTAATTCAGGTTCTGGCAAAAATGTATACCTCTCTTGTGTCTAGATTTTCTTTATCCTAAATTAATTGTATGCATTTATAATACAATTTTTATAAATTTTTTCATACTTCTGTTTTCAAATTAGTCAAGGATAAAAATAAGGATAAGCCCAGTTATTGATGTAAATATTGCTTGATTGGACATTGGATTTCCAACTGTTTTAGATGGGTTCTTTCAAAATGATTGTGAAATGAAATTGAAAAATTCCTGTGAAAATTTGGAAAATTGCTGTGAGCCATGACAATGACTGGGGCTCATATCCTATAAGGAAGAACATGGATTAATGCATGCATCAGAATTATCCTTGAATAGATTAAAAACATAAGTATTTAAAATATAGAACATGATAAATGTACACAATTAATTTGGGACAAAATTATCCTTGACTAGGTCAAAAAGACAAGTATAAAAAATTTATAAAAATTTTATTATAAATGTATACAATTACTTTAGGCTAAAAGAGAATCTAGACACAAGAAAGGTATACATTTTTGCCAGAACCTAAATAAAAAAAATAAAAATCAGTGAAAAAGAAGAACTGTGCCAGTTGTTGCACTATGTGAGTTGTCCCTGTGTGAGTTGTCTCACTGTGTGAGTTGTTGCTGTTGGAGTTGTCACTGTGTGAGTTGTTGCTGTGCAAGTTGTCGCTGTGCGAGTTGTTGTGTAATCTGTAAATTTGTTTACAGTAATAGTATTACTCTAGAAATAACCAAATTCAAGCCCAAGTGGGACAACCCTCGCATATGCTTACAAAACTGTTCTAAATTCGTGATGAACACAGTATTATTCAAATAAAATCTAACCCAGTTATTTTTGGCAGGATCAGGGATCCATGAATCCAGACTGGATGCGGCCAGGTCCTTGTCAGTGAGTGTAAGAGTTGCATTTGGTCTGAGCCAATGACTGGCCCTGGTTCTCTTGAAGTCGCCAATGGCAGCGTTGAAGTTGATGGGGATGAACCATTGCTCTGAACTCTGGTCCCTGGAGCTTTGTTGGAAAAAGAATCGAGCCTGAAAATTGTGGAAAAAATATACATATTCAGGAGTAGTATCAGGACTCTATAGTTTTCTGAGACAACCAGATTTTTAAAATTTTCCCCCTATAGAACAGATTTCAAAATATACACATTTACTTCTGCTGTCGCTTTTAAAAATTCATTTTCACTGTATGGGAAACATTTTCTCCAATATCTGCTGGATTTACCATTTTTCGGCTACAGAAAGTTCCAAATACTGTACGTTCAATTCAAAAGTATGTCATTTAAAGTTTAAAACGAAGAATTGGACGCATTTTTCAATTTAAAATTTTCTGAAATAATTTTTGCAACCACAAAAAATCACAGCAAAAAACAATAAATGAGTAATAATCAATTGCCCCACTAAATATACCTGGGTAAGAGTCGCAGTGTTCTGCTTGGGGTCTCTGGTCAGTGTCACAAGGCCCTTGGGTCACTCAGGGCAGGTGCACAAGTACTAAACTGACTGACTTTCTAGTAGTCCGTCTGAGAACAGTAGTACTCGTCGGTGCAGGTTTATGGAGGTGTTTAGAAGGCAAAGGCGTAACCTGAAGCTCTTGTCTTTCAGATAGGAAATCAAGCCTTTCTTGAAAGTTGCCTCAGTCAAGAAGTTGTTCATCATCCAAATGATGGTAGAACCTTCAAAAAGGAGAAAAGAAAAATGGAGCTCATTACAGCTTTCTTTTTGTGAAAGGTTTACTCACAAAGTCAAAAGATAGCTAAAAATTGAGTCGCTAATAATGAGAATGACTATGCTGAGAAATTGAGAAACTGAAAGAAGGATTGAAATTCAAGATGCACTGAAATTGCTAGAACTCAGAAGATGGAATGAGCAAACAAATCAATCAGCTGGGCTGTGGCTGGAACCTTTTGTCCTAGTATGAAGTTTTTGTATTGCGAAAAAGAGAAGTAGCTTTTCAAAGATTGAATTTGTTGGGTTAGATTCAAAAAGGGACAATTTCAAACAACACTTGTGAAAAATATACAAATTGCTTGCTCTCTTTCGAGATCAACTCAAGTCAACTGCGCAATACAGAAAAGGTGAAAAAATAGCTGACCACAGAACATATTGATTTTTAGGATTATTTCTGGAGGTCAAGATTGACCAGTTTCTAGGAAATTGTTTTTACTTGTCCTGGGAACAAAACTTGGGTTTGGTTCACAAGCTCATCAAAAATGCATTCCATTTCAGGAGAAGATTAGGGCTGATCAGCAAGGTGTCATTCAAGACTCTAATCCCAAAATAATCAAACTTGGTTTTTAGTAGGAGGATTGAAAATCATATTACAAACTTTCTTTGTACAGTTAACGGTTAAAGTTTTCCTAAAATTTACAAGTGTTGCATGAATGTTGAGACTGGGAGTGCAGGTGCAGCAGAAGTTCAAGGATATTATGCATTTCAAAATCTTGCTGAATTGACCCCATTTCCTTCTGGTCAATAGTTTGGAAACTCTGGGGGTAGCTGGTCCCCATTGTTGAAAAAAGTTGTGGTCAAAATTTGCCAAGGGTTGAAGTGGGCTTAACCCTCTTGTAAGGTATAGTTGTCCCATGCAAAAGAATATACCCTAACAAGCTACTGTTGTCCCACAATAAGTTTGAGTATATGAAGTTTGTCCTAATAAATATTCAACCGGAAAATCCAACAGGGTTTTCTGGTTGCGCAATACATATGGAATCATCCACTTTCTCTCCCCCCCCTTTTGTGTGCAGTTGTATCCATTGGTTTTTGTCATTTGGAACTCTTCTCTGTCATAGAACTCATAGTGCAAATTTATTGATTGGTGAAATACATATTTTCCTCTTTTTTGTTTTTGGGATAACCATCAAGTTATCCCCTGCTGTGCTCCCTGGTGGATTTTGACTTTCAATTACAGTCAACGCTTGCTTAACGTTTTTAGTTGGTGCAGCGGGAAAAAACGTTAGCAGAAAAAAATGTTAAGCAAGGTAGTCTCTCCCTTAAGATGTAAGGGAGAAACATTTAATTGGTGTCAGGCAAAATTTTCTAAAAGTAAAATTCAGAAAAAAATTAATCAAAGACTGTATGCATACATGTCAGATTTCCAGTTTTATTTCATTGATTGTATTTCCTTTTATTTCTGTTATCAATTTGTGCTGTTATCAAAAAAGCATGAGTAGCTTAATAATTTTTTGTCATTTTGATAAATAACTTAAAATTTGTCTGCAATATTCTATGTAAATGTGGATGAACTTGTGCTTTGATTTACTTCCCGTTCAAAATTTGGAGAAAATTGGTTCATTTTCTTTTATGGGTTGTAAATTTTAGAAGCCCATAAACTACAACAGAGAGTCAACAACGCTATGAGTGACATTTTTTGCAGTACTGATTTGTTTTTCTCTCTTAAAAACCTCAATTTTCAACAGGGACATAATTATTAAATATAAACAACAAAAAGGAGAAACAGAGAAACGTATGGATACGCATATTGAGGAGAAATTTTCAAAAAGTGAACAGCAATTCTGCACAACTGCAGAACGTTGTGCAGATTTTGGAACATTAAGCAAGGGGATTTTTCTGATACAACCAGGAACGTTATGCAAAAAATGTTAAGCAAACAGAACGTTAACCAAGGGTTGACTGTACTTCTATCTTAATTTAACCCTTGGACAGCAGAGGGTTCTCTCCCATTGCTGGCCAAAGTTGGATTATTTTCATCTACTGGGGCGTTTTAAGTTTTCTGAAGGTCAGAAAAGCCCTTCCAGGTGGGCTGAGGCAAAGTCAGGATTAATCCACAAAAAGCCTGTTGCATAACATACCATTTTTTCATTTTCCTTCAAAAAAATTTTTTTAAAAAGAAAAAAAATGGGAATTTTTCCTGATTTTGTCCTCATCTCCCTGTTATCATTTTTTTCTCCTCTCTGAGGTGCAACAAAATTTTGCAAAAATAGTCCAACTTTTTGGCCCAAGGGTTAATGCTCTTTGTGGGCTTTTACCCCACAAAAATTACCCCACACCTCTGGCCTGGTCTTCTTCCTGGTTGATCTCACCTTTGCCATAGGATATACGATCGAAAATTTCCACGATTTGATCTGGGTTGAAGACTTCTTGGTAAATTGGGTGAGAACTTTCCAAAGAATCCACCCTCATCACGTCTTGGACTTGGAACACGATAAACATCTGCATCCATTTCCAATTCTTTCTTGACTGAAGCACGAAAAAAAAAATTGTAAAACAACTGCACGATTGTTTAAAAGTCTTCATCATGAAGTCTTATTTTTTAAAAAACAGTGACGTTTATAAGACTTGCAAAAATATCCGTGATTTTTGCTTTTATTTGGCTCCTAAATATGTCAAAATATTAAAAAATTCGATTCCCTTGCGATTTGGATTGGAGTTAATTGTTTCTGAAAAATTATTTTCAAAGTTGGCAAAAACGAGCAATTTCTATAGTGATTTTGAATTTGTTTCTCCAGCTACAACCATAGCAGTCTGATTTTGCGGTTTTTATTCGAAATTGATTTCTTCAGTCAGCCTAATGCAAAGCGTTAACATTTACGATTACTGTAACTTATTGAGTGTATTTCTTTTTTAATTCGATGGAAGTGTGACCATCATGCAAAACAAAATGCTTTTGGAAGTAAGATTAAAATGAATAGGAGCCCCAAAGAGTTCCTCAAAACCTTTTTCTTGCAAATACAGTAATTTTGAAAAAACGTTGGTTCATTTATTCAAGCACGTCAGGATTTCTCTATAATTTTAGAGAATCTTCTGAATCCGCATTCAAATCATCAAATGTGAATTTAAAACGTTAATATTTTTTTTTCTTCTTACAAAATACTCGCAGAAGAAGAAACTTAAAGTACAGTATAAACTTGTTTTTTTTAATCTTGTTATTATGAATATAAGCGATTGCAGCAAAGGGCTTTTTTCCCCCGTGCCCAATATAGCCACAATGTTGAAAGAATTCCGTGATAACGAAACTAATGGCTTCATTTTGACGAGATTTTACCATGTTAAACTTTTTCTGATGGGAATTCATAGGAGAAACTTGCGCAACCCAAGAGAAGATTGTTCAACAGAAGAATTTTTGTAACAAAACTTCAACCGTATTCATATTTAAAATTTGATTTTTTTTACCTCTTGTGAACCAAGGTAGCTCACATACGTAGCAAAGCCTTCATTTAGCCAAAGGTCTGTCCACCACTTGGGTGTGACAAGGTTGCCAAACCACTGATGAGAAAGCTCATGGGCAATGACGCTGATGATCCCTCGTAGCCGCCAAGCTGATGTTGTTTTCCCAGTTGGATCATACAAAAGTGACTCCTCTCTGTGAAAAAAAGAATGGAATATTTTTAAATAGATCAAATTTTAAAACAAGATTTAAAGCATGAAATAGTATGGAATAAGATCCCTCAGTTTGATGACCCTGTCCTAAAATATGCAGCTAGATCAAAGGATCAACCAGTAAACTAATCATGGATACACTCGTTTTTTTTTCACTGGAAGGAAAATAAATTGACCCTGAAATGTGTTATCCAGGACACATTTACATTGATTTCAGGAACCTCTCTTCAACTAAACTGTTTTCTCTTGAGAGTCTTGGCAAAAAGTTTGGAACACACAGCACAACTTGACAGCAAAAATAGGCCATGTATGACTTACAACTGAATGATGAAAATGTCACAGCCCAAATGCAGCAATGCTCCTGCATGCAGTCAGAGAAAACTTGTTGCATTTCAAGGCCAATGAGCATTGCAAAATTTCGAAATTCCAAAATTTTTGCAAGACTCAATGAGCCTCACTCAAGGCAAGAAGTGGTCATCACTTCCTTGATTTTCACTAAATTGGCCAATCCTGAGCCAGGAAGAAATCACCTGATTTCTTCCTGACCCATTCCAAGCACCTGGCATTAAAAGCCTTCATTCCTCTTTGAGAGGAGAAGTGAGAATCTAGTGTTAAAGGGCCTTTTTAACTTAAATTATTTTATTCATTATTCTGAGCTAACCAACCAATCTTACAATTGACTCTGCCATTCCAAACAACCATTTCATTAACAGCCAAATGACAACCTGGGCAATGAGAATGAACTCCTTTGAGAAGAGTTTGAGTTCTTATTCAAAACTTGCATTCTGGTGGCTGCACAATTCAATTCTTTCGTCTGGGATCCATTGGACCAATGACATACAACTTGCAATTTTATGGCTCTTTTATAATTTCTAGTCCCTCCTGCTATTTGGGGATAAGAGGAGGGGGCAGCTGTTGACAACCACAAGGACTTCTGCCAGAATTCTGGTAAATTTGGCCTGGCAATTCCAAGCCACAAAAAAAGCTTTGACACACCACAATGTTGCTTCCCTAGGGTTCATTACTTCTCTCAAAAGTTTTAGATTACTCAAATCAAGAGAACCCAATATTCCTGCATTCAGCAGGAATATTGGGTTGTAAAAAAGTGTCAAATCCCCAACTTTTGGTGTGTTTTGTCCCACCATAAAACTGGGGGATTGGCTAACAGTTTAACTGCTGGGGAGCATCCTTTTGACAGCTTTATTGCCACCAGATGGTCTGAGCCATTTGTCTTTTGGCACAATGATTCTACATTGGTTCACAAGTCAGAAATAAAATCTTCTTCTTGAAGAATCCCATAAGATCCATGTCAAGAACAATGTGAGGAAAAGATTATTTTCTACACAAAAAGCAAAAAGTACAATTTCTTTCTGAAGGGCTAGAGTTTCTAGATTCAGCTATTGGCTGTAAATGAGACTTTTTAAGGGAGGATGAACTTAAAGCAAAGTTTGCAATCAAGAGAAATAATAACATGAGTCAAGCAGCCGGGCTATGGCTGGGACCTTTTTGTCCTAGTATAAGATAACATATTCACACAAGAAGTATTGGCAGAGATCAAAGTATCCTTTTGCAAAAGGTTCAAGACAGAATTGAAATCAGACTGGAATTATGAGCAAACTTTTGACGCAAGCAGAATTCTCCAGAGATCTGTTCAGTTCAAATGCAGGGTGCAGAGTGAAAAACTGATGGTTTTTGATTGACCATTACAACTTTTTGGATTAGGGATTGAAGACTTGACTTGGCCACTTTCATTCTTCCATTTTTAGATATGAGGAAATTGTCCTTGTGTGAGCCTGGGAACCAAACCTGGATTTGGTTCTAAGGCTTATGAGAGATGCATCAAGAGATTAGTGTTAATTTTGTTTGGCGCCTTTCTGAAATAGGCAAATTACTTGCATGAATTCTGTTAAGTTCAATTTTTTCCTGGCAAACAAGACACTAGTTGGCACAAACAAGATATTATACAAAATTCATTTCCATTGATTTAGAATTTGAAAAAGATCTCTTAGATTCCATAAAGCTTGTGCATGAATTAGTTGAGGGTTTTGTGTAAAAAATGCCATCATATACAGTAAATGACATTTATACGCATGTATTTGCGCAAAAAATTTATGATTCTAATTTCAGCTTTACATTTATTTTCCTTTCAAGATGAACATTTTTGATACTTGAGCCAACTCTGGACCTATTTGAATTACTGTACAGTACTTATTTTCCTTAGTAATTTGGCAATGAACCTCATTCTCACACACTCTCATATTAAACATTTTGACAACGTTTTTTTTGTTGTTTAGTTCAGATGAACCTTTCCAAATCACATTCAAAGGGAACAAGCTCGGACAAAATAAATTTTAAAATTTTTGAGTTTTGGAATATGATGTGATTTATTTGTGTTAATTCAGGAAGTTGATTTTTGAGCTAAATTTTGACAATTATTTCATACAGTTTGCACATTTCTTAAATTGCAGTTCCTGTGTGAAATTCTGTTTTTTCTTTTGAAAAGCATACATCAGATAATTTGGATAGATTTTCATGTGGTTTTTAGAATGGATTTTTCCATGATTATTT